TAATAATCCTGGATTAACGTTTAACAAGTTTTGAAAATCTGAGGATTTTTTATTTGTAACTTCCTCCGACATTCATTTATCAAGACAAAACTAATTTAAATAGTTTAATTAACATCTCTTTTAATAATAATCTTGTTGGAAAATTAAAGCAAGTTCCTGACTTTATTACGATACTAGAGTTTCAATCGACTTATATTCCTCTAGAGAACCGGCGACAAAGTAGGAGCCATCAATTGTTTTTTTTTTCTTATCTCTGCTAGGGCAGCCAAAGTTTTTAGGGTGTCATTAAAGTGGTAGTAGAATTTTTTCGGAAAAACGTTTATCGTCCCTCAAGAGTCACAGGTATGGCCTGGGCTAAATTGGCCGTTAAACGAGCCAGATATCGCCTTCCGTTAATAAATATCCATCTCTTTCTTTTTTCTTTATGCATAAACCCTTTCTTCTTTGCCCCGTCTTCTTTTTAACGTGAAACACGTGTACGTGTACAGTACAGCCAAATGTCGAATTTTGAATATGACTGAATTGAACCCCTCAACACCGAGACTTAAAATTGAGAAAACTTTTAAGTAAAGTATTGATGAGCAATGCAGTCAGAAACTAAAAAATTAGAAACTTGTGTGAAGCTTTTGAAAACTTCAGTCCAAATTGGGCCCAAAAACAATGGATACCTCTAATTGTTATTCCAAAACATTTTACATATTTTTAAATTTATTGTTTATTCTATACATTCTAATACAAAATATATAATCCTAAGCATGCTACTTAATCAAAACGATAGATAAAATATTTAATCACAATCTGGCAAGTCTAAGTTCCATCCATATTAAAGTCAGAAGTTTTTGGAAGGTTAAGGTAATTAATAGTTTTCCTTTTGTTATATTGTTTGAATATAAAGCACTTCCCGCTTTAATGAATATTTTCATTATTTCTCTTTCCTTTCCTTCACTTATTTATTACTTTAATAACAATTTTCACTTAATACCGGACGTAAAAATTTACGATGGCCTAAAAAAATTACCTAGAAAAATAATGGCTAAAAACAGCTTTATTTTTACAGTGAGTGGCTTAAGGCTACCCAGATTATCGCACCTAAGTAAACTAATAAATTAAAATAAATTTATTAATTAAATTAATTCCCCAACGCACTTTTTAAAAGGCGAGTAGACAGATAAACCGGTAAGACTTGTTTGCTTTGCTGGTTTAGCGTATCTACGGCCCCTTTATCAGACATTTATTAGCCATGAACGTTATGGTTATTAACAATAATAATAAAAGGCCTTATTAACAAACACATATACCATATTACACTTTTTTTTCATTACATGCTCCTGTACTAAGTTTTTTTTTTCTTATATCGTAAATTTGAGTTTGAATAAATAACATAACTAATTTGCACTACAATGTGAACTTAATACTGAATCTGCTGTGTATAATTATTTGTCCTGCCAACAAATTGAATTATTAAATTTTAAATTCTGTATCCAGTAGTTCTTCCTCAACAATGAGCGTCAAGTTGCAATTAAAAACAACTCTAGATCTACCTGCAGTTGGAAATAAAACAGCTATGCCGACACACAATGTCAATATCTGTCCAGAGGTAAACTTAATTAAAGGAGGGAAGTGGGTGCAAACACGTTGTCCAATTTCTAACCAATCTTGTCCGACAATCCTTTTCTTCCCAACCTAGGCATTTGGAGAAAAACTCGTTCGAAGGGTATTGCTTCGAGTTAGGGCAACGCTGTTCTATTTTGAGCCAGACACTAAATCAAATATTTCAAATTAAGATGATTTAGATGGATCGTACGAAATAATTTTATACTGCTATTCGTTTTGAAAATCCTCTTTGACGAATAAAATTATTTTTCATAGGAAAAGATGAAAGGTGTTTTTTTATTTTATTTGTACTCCACATATTAGTACATACAAAACCTTTTTTTCTCACGGTCAAGCACCAACACTAATGCCAGAATTGCACCCTGAGCCGTGTCAATGCTGGCACTCAGTGTGAGGGATTAATGGGCAAGAAGGTCATGAGACCATCGACGATTAAGGCGACGAGCGGGTTATCGGGACGGGAATGTGTAGAGAACTGTGGAATGGATGGAATATGGATCAAAAAGTTGGTGTGAAACTTTTGGAACCTCATGAGATTAATGACGTAGTTGACGATTTGTCCGAGCACTTTCGTTTGAAAGAATGTTGGATGGCTTGGCAAAACCCCACAGTTCCACTCGGTATGTCCTAGAACTCTTCGTGAGATGTCCAACTCTTGTGTTAAGTTGTCTCTTGTCACATTGTCTAGGTATAATCCTTCGAATTTGGCTTGAATAGAAACTGCTATCTTTTTTGTTGATGTGCAGTGGATGGAGAGTAGAAAATAAAAGTAACGACCCCAGAGTAATAAAAATAACTATCAGTGTCTCAACCCAATAGCCTACGATACGAATCTACTCTACTCGTAATACCTACCTACCACTATGCAATATTCAATCTAAATATTTAATTTATATTTAAGAGTCATAAAAATTATATACTACGGTGGTACCCTATGTGTTCCAGGTCAGAGGAGGATTTGCAAGATCATACATAGGACCTTAACCTATACTTGCTATAACAGAAACAAATACAGAACTCTCCATCACAGAATAGATCCAAATAAACCAAAAGGAGAAGTGAATCAACTCTATCGGCGCTAGACACAGTAAACTTATGGTAAAACAACCCTCACCAAGGCTGGCAAACTCACTGCTACAGTTGGAGAGTGCCAGACTCAGAGGAGAAATATTAACCGGACATTAGCATCTGAGAAAACATATGCATAATGGGCATATATAATATCCCATTTGCAGATTATGTAATGAAGAAGAACAAGCAGCCACTCATATCATCTTCGCATGCGAAGCAATGGCTTAGCATAAAGAAAACACCTAGGGATTGAAATTATAGTAGCAGCAGTCAATGACCTAATACTCCTGAGAAGAAGGATTGAGTCAATTGCACTTTACTAAGGAACTAGGGAGATACAATAAGCTAGAAGATTGCGTTCCTGGGGAGCACAAACCCCGCTTCCTACTATCCTCATCATCATCATCATCATTATAACCCTATGTGATGTGGGCTACTAAATAAAAAAATTATATAAGGCCCCAAAGTTAAAGCTTTTCTTTTAAGGAGGTCAATATGTGTTTCACCTTCGTGCATCTTAAATGTATTAATACACAAAACTTTATTACTCATGTGAATCATATAACTTGGAGTCGATCGTTACTCACAAGTATCTTACTAACTATTAAAATGAAAATCAGTTGGAAAAAAAATTCAAGAAGGGAGAAGTCGCCATTCCTATTTCTGATTCTAGCTTGTAGTTTTTCTTCAAAATTTAAATAATTCTGTAAACGTCTTGGCAACATTGTTTGTTGGGAATGTCTTTTTCGAAGAAGCAGGGATTAGAAGTCGGTGAAATCTGAGGATGATTTTTATCCCTTAGAAAAAGATTAATGCCATTTGTTTTGCTTTTCCCTAGATCGCCTCCATCAGTTATTTAGTTGGCCCGTTAATTTGGCGCTTGAAAGCAATGCCCTCTATTTTTATTTGCAAGCGTGTTCAGAAATAGACATAATTAATGACACGTTTATCTTGAATCCGTATGTCTTACGAGGAAAAATCCCAACCCAATAAACCTTACGGAAAGTATCCAATAACGATGTAATAAACATTGTCCAATAACGATTATTCAACTTGCAAGTCCCCGGTGGCTGAGTAAAGCTTAAAAATTGAATAAATCATATTTCTTTCCTGTACAATTTTATTATTTCTTATCTTCTCTAGGTATGTCTTACGGTACAATGGAAGGTAAGAAACGGTTTCGGATAGGGAAAATTCGGTTCTTCCTGTATTTAAAAGAATTTTTCCTTGTCGGACTTGGCTCCCTTCTATATTTGTATTGTCGTTTCTTTCTAAAATTATTTGAACGAAGGCGTCCCAATTTTACCCCAGGCAACAAAAGTTTTCACAGTTTTCAATTATTTGTGAATTAATTACTTGTAAATCAATTAATAAATTTTTTCACCTCATTTCATGTGGTTGCATTAAAAAATAAAAATTGTTAAAAATAAAAACACTCTACAGACACTCTCATGCAAATTTAATGTTTCCACAAAAAAGAAACAATCTAGAAAAACTACTAAAACCAATCTGGACGTACGGACTAGAACTATGGGGCACTGCTAAACCTTCCAATCTATGCTGCCTCGTGTAGAAATCAAATTATCTATGTCATTTGTAAATCCAGCTCATTGCATAATGTAAATAAGGTTACAGATTATAACAAATAGATTAAATCAATAAATAAAAAACATTACAAGAGCCACTCGCTTGTACGAAATAAAAACGAATTTGTCGACTTTTTTCTATAATGTATGTCGGGATTTCATTAAAATAGGATTACACAGTTTAAATAAAGATTCGATGTAAATGAGTTTTAAATTCCGACATCGCGTTTTAAGTCAATTGGACGAATTTAAATTAATAAAAACGATAGCGGCAACTGTTCACTTTTGTTTTACGCCGATCAATAATGATTGGATTTAATTGATGCTCTAGCGAGTTGGATCCGCCGACTTAGCTAACATTAATTGGACGTTGATCACGAAGGCCCATCCCCAAGAATTAACATTTCCTTCAATAATTATGGCCGGAAAAAGGTAAAAAGGAGGAAAAACAAAGGCAATATTTCTACAGGAAAAATAAAATAGTTAATATTACATTTTTATCGTTTATTCAAGCATTTATTTGATAAAACATGGCCCAAACCTAGTTTAAAATTGTCTAATTAAAATGGAACAGTGAATTTTTAGAAACTTTTTGTAAAACAAAATTTCATTATGTTTGCCGTTATAATTTTCTATGCGGTCACAGACATAAAAGATATTTTAACAAGCTTTTTTTTTATTCTTGCATTTTTCTGTGGAATGAAAACAAACTAATTGAAATTTCTTTTGTTTCAGGCAAAATTAGAGACAAAAGCTTTGAAAGCAAAACGACCAGGGTTCACAGACGATCGTTACAATGAGACGTCATATTACATCGAAAATGGTAATGTTGTTATAATCAATAATTAATTCAATTTTTTATGATTATTTAGAGACCGTGAGAAGCGATCTGGTGTGATGTAGGTTTGAAAAACATTTTCTATATCGTGCCAACGTTTCGATCTTTATTGAGATCATGTTCAGGGCCTGGGATTTATAAACATTGTTGAAATTATACAAATACATGTAAAATATGAAAATCAATTTATACAATGACGTACACAGTACCAAAAATTAGAAACTTGTGTTGTTTGTTTGAAAAATTTAATCCAAATCCCAAAAACAATGGGAACTGTTAATTGTTATTCCAAATATTTTACATATGTTTAAATTTAGTGTTTATTCCAAACATTCTAATATAAAATATGTAGTCCTTAGCACGCTACTTTCTCAAAACGATATATTTTTAAACGAACGATAAATAAGAAAAACGATAGATAAAATTCACTAGTTTTCGTGGTCCGCTTGATCAATTAATATCTTTCAATTAATTAAGGTTTTTAGTTGAGATAAAAAAAGTCAGTGTCACGAGCGGGATTCGAACCCACGATCTTCGGCTAGATACGCCGCTGCTCTACCACTTGAGCTATCGTGACTTCGATCCCTAGGACACTAACTTGGATAGATAAAATATTTAATCAAAATCTGGCAAGCCTAAGTTCCATTCATTATAAAGTCATAAGTTTTTGGAAGGTTAAGGTAATTAATTAATAGTCCTTTTGTTGTATTGTTTGAATATAAAGCACTTCCCGCTTTAATGAATATTTTCATTATTTCTCTTTCCTTTCCTTCACTTATTTATTACTTTAATAACAATTTTCACTTAATACCGGACGTAAAATTTACGATGTGCTAAAAAAAAATCCTAGAAAAATAATGGTTAAAAACAGCTTTATTTTTACAGTGCGTGGCTTAGCTCTACCCAGATTATCGCATCTAAGAAAACTAATAAATTAAAATAAATTTAATAATTAAATTAATTCCCCAACGCACTTTTTAAAAGGCGAGTTGACCGATAAAACGGTAAGACTTGTTTGCGTTGCTGGTTTAGCGTATCTACGGCCCCTTTATTAGACATTTATTAGACATGAACTTTAAGTTATTATTCTTAATAATAATAATAATAATAATAATAAAAGGCTATATTAACAAACACATATACCATATTATACATTTTTTCTTCATCCCATACTCATAGCCGTTGAGTCCGTCTTAGGGTAATTATTGTTATTATTAAATATGTGGTGTTTAATGACCGTTAAATAATGATTATTTGGAGATCGTGAGATGGTCTGGTGTGACGTAGGTTTAGAAAAACATTTTCTTTATCGTGCCAATGTTTCGATCTTTTTTGAACTGATTTTCAGGGCCTGAGATTTATAAGCATTGTTTAAAATATACAAATCCATGTCAGGTGAAAAAAAAAATGAATTTATACAATGATAGAAATTTTAGACTCAATCGAAATATTTGTACTCACTCAGTGTTTGTTTTTTTGGGTAGATGTGTCATTACTGTGTGACGTGTTGAGAGTGCCAGTGAGATATTAATATTTTTTGTTTGTACATGTTTGATTTTGAAGGAGTGCGGAAGGAAGTTGGGATAGAAATACCCACCATTTTGAACACCCAACACAATTTCGATTTCAACAATCCATTTAAAACACTGAACAAAACAAACATAAACGTAACTTTTTAGAAATGGTTTACATCAACAGAGATAAACACAGCATCAATTACAGACACATGTAAACTCAGTGGTTATATATATGATATCATAAATCAAATTGAATATCACTAGCATACATATAACACACAAAACATATAATATTGCCTAGAAAACAATCATTACACTTCTACATAGTTTAAATCTTCAACACTTTATCTCTCCTTTCTCTAATAATCCGTTCTATAATAATCCTGAAAGGCTAACCAGTCCCAAACAACAAACCATTACCCATTTTACCATTGTCGGTCCTTTCACCTCACAAACCCAACTCCTCGTAGGAAAGTGAATTTCTATCCTTACTTCCTTTCCCACTCCTTCAAAATCAAACATATGAATAAAAACATTAATATCTCACTAATACTCTCAACACGACGACACAACTTAATCACACCAAACCTCATCTCATGATTTCTAAATAATTATTAATTAACGGTGACTAAATAATTCGCATGCAATTTTTTATAATTAAATATCTAATTACTTAGTCTTTTAATTGACTTTAGAAATTTTTACTTTTTTATTTTTTAAACGAAGGTAATCTTTTTTTTTGCTGCATTTTCATTGATTTCTGTTAGAGAATCCAGATTTACGAGAATTTTTCCCATTTTAGTAAATAAATTAAAAATGTTTCGTATTTTCGTCTTGCAACTATATGTTCCAATTTTGTGTTTCATTTAGGCCAGTATAAACGGTCAGAGGTTTTGAGGTTTTATGATTAGCTGGCAAGTAAACCGTAACTTCGACCACTTTGGACTTAAACTCATAAGTCTTAAAGGAATGACTTAATCTTACGCTTTACCCTCGGTAGGTATAAATTTCGTACATTGTAATCAAATTCTACCGGGTTTCTAATTACTTAATTATAACAGTAATTCCCGCGAGTTCACATGGTTGAACAGGGCGTGAAATTCATTCGCCTAGTTCTAAAAGTATTTGCATAAAATGAGCATCTGGAAGAGGTTTCCGTCGGGAAGGAAGTTTGTACGCCGCGTTTTAAATAAGCCGTAGCGAGGAAATGTGTATTATTAGGTCGCGAGGAGTGCCGAGTGTTCCAGCTGGGAAGAGAGGGCGATAAGGGCCGAGTCGCCCCCGTCCCTCCGCCCTACAAACCCACCCTTCGATATCAAGTTCGAGATAGCCGTCATGCAACGTGGGCCGAACAGATGTCGAACGATTTTAAATTCGCCTCAATTTTACACGTCTGGTACATTTCTCCAGACTCGAAATTTCCCACCTTCTGCAAACATCTTTTCCCACTCCCCCTTTTTCTTTTACATCCGTTCTGGCGGGAAGAAATTGCCCTCGGGGTGCGTTTTTTCCCGTCGATTCTCTCTAGCGTGTGCTCCTATGGCGAACTTCCTCCAAGTCCACAAAAAAAAGTTTCCGGACTTTGAATGAACGTTAATCCAAGGAAGAAGTTAGTTCGAACTTTCCAGCACACGCTCTTTAAATCGGCCATCTCGGACAAACTGCGGGACTTTTACGTCTTGAAGTTAATTTTTCAACTTTAAATTGTTAATTGCAATCTAATCATCTAATTATATAAATGAGGGCCGAGTGGGTTCGAGTCCCACCGTAGCCCTGGAACTTTTCTCTCCCTCGTCAGATAATGCGAAGGCATTTAATAATAATATAAAATGATTTGTTTGCCTTTGTCCGTAATTCTACCTCCGTGTAAGTTTATCAAAAGGTGTTACAGGATGAGAAATTAGCGTGTGTATATATATATATANATACACATATAGAATCATCAAGTAGCCATTTAATTAATACACGTTTCCTTTTGATTTGCCACAAAAGTACATTGCTAGTTATGCAGCACTATTGTACTTGCAATCATGATCATTGATGATTTCTTATCATTGCTATGTTCAACAAGAGAAGGATAAATATTACAATATTAAACATAATTCCCAAACAATATTTTGGTTTCGTATCTCTTCAAGTATAAAATTCATATAAGCGGCAGTTGTTATAATATATTTAATTGATTTTCCGTGCTTCAGCTCTTTCTGAAATTCCCTCTTAAATTCCTTCAAAAAGAGTCATTTTCAATTATTTTAATCATTGCCCGCCTGTTCCCGGTTTATTTTATGTAATTATTTTCACGCTATTCTTCTGTCGCACGGGTGGCGAGACCGGCCGATAATATCAAAATAAAATCATAGGCTGTAAGTTACATCGCCCACGCGACCGTAAATCGGTTTGGGAATATAAGCTAATTCGAACTAGTCCTGACATTTGAGATTGTAACTTTGAGATATTATTGAGAATACAATGTTCGGTTTGTAGTAACAAGGTGCTTGCTTTCAATGAACGGATGTCGTTAAAGTGAATTAGATGATTTCGTATTTAAAATTAGTTGGAAATGAAAAGATGAATTAAATGTCGTTGTGAACTTTTCTTCCTGTAAACTGAGACGTTTGGAGTCGGCAACTAGGGAGACTCTGAATAGCTTTGCATTACTTTTCTCTAAAAGTCTCATTATTATTGCCCAGGGACTTTGACTTAATTCAACGCACCCGTTCTAAATTGTCATCTTACATTTTCCTAATGATATTTATGCGGGCCAAGTCGTTTATTCGGCTTCCTTTCCAGCCTGGGGACCGCTTCGACATTAGTGGATAATAGTAAACGGATGGGAAACTTAGGGGCAAATGGATTTTGTATGAAACGAAAACAGACGCTCCAACTCGCATTAGTTTTATATTCGGTTGTGTTCTGAAAGGGGAATACAGAAAACATCGATCGTTCTAGCCACTTTTATCTCGGCTCTTCGCTTTTCCCGAGTTGTCAAAAAGAAACCCCATTTGGCAAGCTAATACGACTTTTTTGCCTATATGCAGTGGCAACCACCCCGTAAATAACTGCTGAGTGGTTGTAAAACACCTAAATAAGATAGCGGGTGTGAATCTGTCAGGCAATTAGCTGGGATCAGCACGGACCTAGAAAGACCTTTCAGCCTATTAAACTGCGACTTCTTCTCTAACACATTAAAAGTTTGTCAACAAGCCCCTACACGAACGTCAAACCGAGAGTCTAATTTTAACCACTGCCAGCCTCCGACCGAGTTTAAATCACCATTATTTTTACCTAAAAGTTTGTAACAAAGTTAAATAGGAACAGCCGTTTTAGGTTTTTAACCGGTAAAGATTTCCGGGAGAAGTTTGACACAATCGGGCGGATTCGTTCCATCGCAATTTAGGCGAAACTCGACGATCCACTTGCTGAAACAGCTTTATCGAGAGCTCAGGAAAAGTATGCTGATTTGAGCAG